GGAAAGCAGATGTGTGACTGCCAGAGCTGGGAGGGGGTGGGGAAGGGGAGTGAGCTTTCCTTGGAGTGGATTTTATTGGGGGGCAATGAGAATGTCTGGGAGGCAGGAGAGGGGACGGTGGCCCAACCTGTGAATGCAGTAACTGCCACGGAGTCGACCACTCTCAGAGGCCGGTCTTAGGTGATGTGACCTCTCTCTCCTCCTTCTAAAAAGAGAGCTGAGCCCTCCCAAGCTGGCTGCTGGTGCTTCAGTGAGAGTTCGATCCCCAGGCCTGGAGCTGACCCACATGGCACCGCAGACCTCTCCTGACCTGCCCACTGCTCCCCTCAGCAGTGTACTTTGTGGATCTGCCTGTTCTGCTCCCCACTCTGTCTCTGGGGAATCCTCTCACCCCGCTGCACCTCTGGCCTGTACCCCTGTTCTATATGCATAAATAATCTTAAAATAAGAGAGAGAGCTGTGGCCAGAGGGGGCTGGGCTGGGTTACCCTCACCCCAGCGGTATATATAAGCAACACCCTGATGCTGAGAAGGAACACCCCTTGCCAAGGGCTCCCATCAGAATGTAGCACCAGGTCGGGGCCCGACTGGATACGAGTGCCTGCAGCTGAGATGCGGGGCTGTGCCCCTGACAAAGAGGCCAAGAGAAACAGGTGCCAACGGGGCATAGAGGGGGCTGGGGGCCGGAGTGGGGCGCAGTGAAAGAGGCAGTCAGTCCCTGCTTCGGGAACTAAACGGGCGCTGGGAAGTGACCATGGCCAAGCAAGGTGGGCGGAGTCACTTCTGGTCACGCCATCAAGACCCCACCAAAGAGGGACGGCACTGTCCCAGTCTCCCCTCCATCTCGCACCCCGCCTCCAGGGCGCCAGGAGCTGCTGCGCGCAATGCCTAGGGCTTCTGCTGGGGAACAGCTTCTGCTCTGGGTCTTTTGGTTCCCTTGATGTTATGGAGAGCACCCCGTTTTCTAGAACCCTGCTCCCAAGGGCGGGTTCTGGCAACCTATGGCCATCTGGCTGGTGGGAGAGGAGGCGAGGGCCAGAACCGCGAGGCCGAGCTCCAGCCGGCCCAGGCAGGGTGGCTCCCAGCCCCACGCAGGGCCGGTGCGGACCCGCCCTCCCGGCAAGGTGGCCCCAGGCCCCCGCTCCGGGGCGCCAAAACCTCTGTGGGGCGAGGCCATGACTGTAAAACTGACCAGTGAGTAGAATTCGTGATTTCTTTCCAAGCCAAATGGAAGCAGAGAAATACACCGAAGTGGCCAGTCACCTATTAGCTCTGATTTATATTCTACTTTAATATCTCTTCCGAGGAAATGAGAGGTATATTTCCATCAAATTGAATCATTTATAGCTTCAAAGGGAGACGAAGGGCCTATGACAATCACCTGGGCGGGCAGCTGCACCAGGAGCGCGTGGGAAAGCACGGCCGCCGACCCTCGCCGTGTCCCCCAGGCGGCGCCAGGATCCCTCGCCTGCGGTGGGCAGCAGCGCCGCCCATGTGGCCGGGGACCCCGAGCAGGACCTCGCAGGACCTCGCAGGAGGTGGGGAGGCCACGCAGCGGCGCTCACGGCCCCGCGGCAGCTGCGGACGCTACACCTGGGCAACCCCGGTCCGGAGCACGAGCCCCCGTCCCCCGCCCGCCCCTCCACCCTGCGGCGCTCGCCAAGCTCTGGGCAAGCCGAGGGCAATGGGGTTCCTCTGATGTGCCACCAACCCAAGGCTGTCACGGGCGCCTCTCACGTGCTGGGGGCAGAAATTCAGCAGGGGAGGCTACTTCAGCTAGCCCTGTTGAAGGGCCACGGGGAAACCGCCAGTGCCCAGGGCCGGAGGAAATGGCCCCTGCTGTCCAGTGGGCGCCGCTCCTGGGAGGGGCAGGGAGCCGGCGTGCTCAGTTGTCACCCAGCGAGTATGAGAGACGGCGCGGAGCCCACACGCCGCCGTGAGCGGGGCAGGTCGCTCCCCCCAGGAGAGAGACTGTGGCCGGTGCGCGGATATGTCACCCAGGCGGAACCGCGGTGCCTTGAGGAAACAAACCAGGCGGAAGTAGCGGGGGGAAGGGTAAGCTTACGGGGGCTGCCCACGGGGGTGGCTTGTAGACTGAGGTTTGGGCAAGCAGCAGGAGGCGGCCACAACTAAGATCTGGGAAGAACATCCGGTGCAAAGGCCCTGAGGCAGGAGAACTGTGTGACTCTGGGGTGGTTCTCAAAGTGTGGTCTGGGGCGCCCCAGGGGGCATTTGCCTTTTACATTCAGAAGACAGAAGAGTTTTCCAGAAGCAACTAACACTATTACAAGATCGACAGCAGAGGCAGACATGAGAGCCCAGGGATCTATTAAAAAGATATAAAAAAATAAGCCAGTTTGGGGGGCAGCTACCGTTCGTCAAAAGCTATGCTGTGTGGGTTCAGACATGATGGGGCTTATTATTATTTTTAAGTAAATAAGTATCTGGAGCGCTTCTCAGTTTAATTTCTACACCAGAAACATCAAATTTCTTTGGGCTCTTTACTTTTTTTTACCAAAATTCTGAGAAGCACTTAGTTGGAAACAGGGCAGGCGGCGGGGGGAGCTGGGGGAGCTGGTGTGGAAGGCGCGGGTGGGGGCGTGGGCCAAGCCTCCGGCACACAGGCGCAGAGGGAGACGCCTGAGCTTCGTTCTCAGGGCGACGGGAGCTGCTGGGGCTGCCGAACCACTTAGGGGCTGACGGGACACGAGTTCGTGTAGGTTCTAGTGGCTCTCCCTGGCTGACTGGAAGCCAGAGGCTGCTGCTGTGACCGCGGGGGAGATGCCGTGGTCCAGAGGGGCAGAGAGGGTGAAGGCAGAGCAGGTCAGCGTGGGCGCGGGGCGTGGAAATGGAAGGAGGATTTCCAGATGCGGAGGGGCGTGTCGGGGGCGAGGGCTGAGGCGGCGGGTGGCCAGGCCGGGGCGGGGGAAGCACCCCCCTCTCCTCTGGCTGGGGCAAGGTGGCTTGAACTTGCTCTTTAGGTCGCAGGCATCTCAGGCCCAGGTCAAGGCAGGAAGGACTCTCCCCCAGGGGTCCAGAGCAGCCTCCCTGGGGGCACATGGGAGAATGCCCTCCCCACGCCTGTAAGCAGCGCTTCCGGGCGCTGCGGGGGAGAGACTGGCCACCTCTCCCTCGCCACAGTCTCAACACCCCCCAACCCCCGGGTCTGCAACTGGGCGCCCCGGCAGCTCCAGTCCCGAGTCACGCAGACCTAGGCCACTGCAGAAAGGGCCACGCCCCCTCCACCCCTCCACCCCTCAGCCTTGGGTGACCTCACCCCTTCCCGGGGGCCCAGGCAGGCTACAGAAATAAGGAATAAGTCATTAGAAAGCTTTCTGCAAACAGAAAGATGATTATGCTGATGCTCAAGAATGTGACTTTTGGCTCTGCTTATTTATTTACACCCAATTTCTTCCAAAAGGGGCTGGAGCAGAAGTAAGGCCTGGGCTTTCTCCTTAACCCATCCAATCCCGAGCTGAAGGAAGCCCCGGGGAGCGGAAAGATGTGACTTCTGTGGTAAGAGAGCTGCATCTGGTTAACGGAGACTCCCTGTCAGCATTTATCTGTATTTAGTCAACATCTCTAGAGAACATGACGCAGCCCGGAGGAGGTTCGACATGAAGACCACAAAGACGCCTCCAGAACCTGGGGTGGGCGGAACCACCTCTCACTTCATAGCAGAAAACAGGCCGCTGCGGCAGTCTGGCAGCCCGAGATGGGTTTAAGAACAGTGTGGGGCGGGATGACCTCCGCGAAGGTGAAACTTCCCCCGAGGCCCCGACAGATCCACGCTGGAGAATACCCCCACAGACACGTGAGAGCTGCACAGTGACGCACAGATACACCAAGGTGTTCGCTGTGGCACGGAAGAGCAGTGTCACTGAAAATAACCCCAGCGTCCCCCCATGCAAGATGTCCTGAGAGATGACTGTGGCCCATCAGGGTAAAATACGGTCCGGCAATTAGCGAGCATAGGGTGGCCTTCCCAACACGAGCACGTCAGGCTGACTCGCTGCGTGAAGAAAGGCAAGGAGCAGAGCCCGCAGACGGTGCCACGCCGGCGTGCGGGCAGCCAGACACGTGCGTGACACGCCAAGCCGCGGGAAGTGCCTGCGAGGAACCCAACCGGCCACTTCGGGGCAAAGCACACACATTTCTCATTTCACCTTGTCTGTTTAAAAATCAGATGCTTGCGGTGTAGATCTTCCAAAGTGGAAAATCAAAGAGCAACAGTGACTTGGTTGGGGCTGGGGGTGGGGCCTGACCGGCAGGTTCTGACGCCTTATTTCTGCCAGCACCCCACAGCCTGGGGCGGCTGCGTGGCGGGTGCCAGTTGCCTCAAGTTCTCTAAGCCAGAGGAAGTCCTCTGGCTCTCTTGTGGGATGGGGGTGTACATGGATTCACTTAACGCAGACACGTCAGACCAAGGAAGACAAGTCTTCCCA